CAAGATCTCTGTATCATATGAAAAAAAAACTCCCTTAGATCATCAGGGAGGCTTCCAAAATATGCAAAGGAAAAAATTAAAGTCATCATGGCCCCCGCTCTATATAAATTATAAATGCTCCCTTAGAAAGAATAAGATCGTTAACCTCAATAAAGAATTCCACTTGCTTCCCATCTAATTATCCTCAAAATATTCTCATTACAAACCAGATATCGAGAGACTCAAGATAGAAGCAATGGACCCTGAATTTGGAAAGACGTTTATTGCACTACTTGATCACGAATGGGAAGAAATTAAGAAGAGGTCGTTTCGAAAGGAGGAGGAGTTACTTCGTACGATAGTGGAAGGGAATTCAGCTGCAGATGCCTCTCAGGCCAAAGGTGTGTACAATTGTAGCTTCAGTATTAATAATCCGGCATTTTGCTTATCCCTGATGGTTTCTGTATTTTAATAAATCACTAGGAAATAAAGTTTTTATTTCACAATCTAAAACGTTTATTTTACAATAAATTTTTCGCGCGCTGATTGGTTATTTTTTATCATCAATAAGAGGACAGACAGATAAAGCTGATGTCAACGAGCGCGCGCTCTTTCCGTTGGTTGTTTTCATCACTAAAAATGAGAAGTTTTTATCGTTTTTGCTATTGTAAAAAACAAATAGACATCAGATTTTTATGTGTCTGTCCTCTTATTGACAATAAATTTCGCCATCACATTGTCAAAGTAGTATGCGGATCCACTCGGCTACGCCTCGTACATCCACACTACTTTGACAATGTGATGACGCAATTTATTGTCAATAAGAGGACAGACACATAAAAATCTGATGTCAATTTGTTAAGGTGTCTTCTAAATAGATAAGGTCAATAATAAAATGGATGTAGCCAAATATAGACAAATAATATAATACATATCGTGAACTCTGAATAGGATATTAGAAAGACCTAAGTACATCAACTCATTTGAAAGAATTCCACTTGCCTTCCACCTAATTATCCTATCAACTTTTTCTGGCATGAACATGCATCATTCCTAGACTCTTTTGATCAAAGCAAAGCTATGTTCGCCAGCGCGCATGTTCAGTGCTAGATATCATCTCACATCCAGCAGCAAAACACAAATTTGTAGTATGAATATAGTTTTGAGCCGTAGATCTACGAGGAGCGTTCGAGAGCTAAATCCAAGTAACTTCATGTAACATTCGTAAGCATATGTTCGGGATATCTAAATTAAGAGTATAATTTACGTGAAAACTAAACAATGGATTTCCCGTAGCCAATATTGCTACTTCTGGGTTATCTATTTACGAAAAACATCACTCATTCTATTGTCATATGTCCCTAATACTGTACTTCATTTAAAAATTAGAAGGTAATCTAGTAACGCGACTTCCCCAAAACTGAAAATATATGATTCAAAATATAAAAAACGCAATGTTTACATTTTTCGCTTTTTTACGGACCCTTTCATGAAAACTACGATCATGCCAAAACTCGTCGATTTTTTTTTTTTAATTTTTCAGAACTACAACAGATCAATGCAACACACTTTCCCTGACTTTCATGATCATTGATAACTTCTAAGGCTGCATAAAATAAATGCAATATTAAGTAAATATTGAGGTGATGTCATAGTTTTCCACGATTCGGTGCTTTTTGGGATTTCTTTTGTTTCATGAAACGCTGGGTGTTGATTTTAGGTTTCATAGTTGACTTTCCCCTAAGATGATATCTAGAGTTTTTAACCTTCGGCATCATTTTATGTAACGGATGACTTTCTAAACCCGAAGCTCTAGTGTATATTTTAGTGTATACTTTGCACCATACATGAATTGACCGCGCTTGGTGGCCCTCCGAAATCTCTCCGAAATAGATCGGACTTTACATAAGATCTCTGTATCATATGAAAAAAAAACTCCCTTAGATCATCAGGGAGGCTTCCAAAATATGCAAAGGAAAAAATTAAAGTCATCATGGCCCCCGCTCTATATAAATTATGAATGCTCCCTTAGAAAGAATAAGATCGTTAACCTCAGTAAAGAATTCCACTTGCTTCCCATCTAATTATCCTCAAAATATTCTCATTACAAACCAGATATCGAGAGACTCAAGATAGAAGCAATGGACCCTGAATTTGGAAAGACGTTTATTGCACTACTTGATCACGAATGGGAAGAAATTAAGAAGAGGTCGTTTCGAAAGGAGGAGGAGTTACTTCGTACGATAGTGGAAGGGAATTCAGCTGCAGATGCCTCTCAGGCCAAAGGTGTGTACAATTGTAGCTTCAGTATTAATAATCCGGCATTTTGCTTATCCCTGATGGTTTCTGTATTTTAATAAATCACTAGGAAATAAAGTTTTTATTTCACAATCTAAAACGTTTATTTTACAATAAATTTTTCGCGCGCTGATTGGTTATTTTTTATCATCAATAAGAGGACAGACAGATAAAGCTGATGTCAACGAGCGCGCGCTCTTTCCGTTGGTTGTTTTCATCACTAAAAATGAGAAGTTTTTATCGTTTTTGCTATTGTAAAAAACAAATAGACATCAGATTTTTATGTGTCTGTCCTCTTATTGACAATAAATTTCGCCATCACATTGTCAAAGTAGTATGCGGATCCACTCGGCTACGCCTCGTACATCCACACTACTTTGACAATGTGATGACGCAATTTATTGTCAATAAGAGGACAGACACATAAAAATCTGATGTCAATTTGTTAAGGTGTCTTCTAAATAGATAAGGTCAATAATAAAATGGATGTAGCCAAATATAGACAAATAATATAATACATATCGTGACCTCTGAATAGGATATTAGAAAGACCTAAGTACATCAACTCATTTGAAAGAATTCCACATGCCTTCCACCTAATTATCCTATCAACTTTTTCTAGCATGAACCTGCATCATTCCTAGACTCTTTTGATCAAAGCAAAGCTATGTTCGCCAGCGCGCATGCTCAGTGCTAGATATTTTCCCACATCCAGCAGCAAAACGCAAATTTGTAGTATGAATATAGTTTTGAGCCGTAGATCTACGAGGAGCGTTCGAGAGCTAAATCCAAGTAACTTCATGTAACTTCGTAAGCAGACGACATAAGACGATTGATAATATCGTTTAAATATCGATCTGCTAACATCATAGTGAGCAAGTGAGTTGATGACACATTTGTATATTCAGGCCTCTGACAGTTACTCCTTTCTACATTTTGCGTATCAACGAGTTAAATCAAATTGCCGCATGGCAAACACGTGGATACCCTACTCTGAATACTACCTGCACTCTTGAGATATTGGGTTCAGTGTGCACTTCTTACGTCCCGCTCGCAGCGTGGTTGGTGTTTAATAATAGTATGTAATATGGATTATTATTGAAAATACTAAAGTAAATGCTACAACCTTTTGACGTTATCTTGACCCGTTTTTTATCTTGCCCTGTACCAAATTTCAACAGATTTGGAGTTTTTGAGCCGTTCAATCAATTTAGTCGAAGCTTATAGGATCGCCCCGATTGTTTCATAATGACGGCCGCTTATCTCGTATACAGTCAATTCAAAAAACGTTGTCGTCGACCGGCTCAAGCCTACGCAACTGGACCGAAAGAAATATGGGTAAAAATCACTGAAGCGGTTAAATATTCGTTCTGAATTAATTGTTGCCGCTAGTAGTAAAGATAATAATAGCGAGAAACAATCCATCAAATGCATGTCTTTGGGTTTAGGGAAAGAAAAATAAAGTAGTTATGATTCAGTTCACAATTTCGAAAATATGAAGGCATTAAGAAAACGTCTCCTTCAACACTTCCCGCTCGCCTACGAAGGTTCGTGCTGTAAACCAGGCATAACTAGTCAGATAAAATATGTAGTCAACTCGGCTTCAATGATTGCTGCCCAGAGTTCCTTTCGGTCCAGTCGCGTAGGCTTGAGCTGGTCGACGACAACATTTTTTGAATTGACTGTATTTAGTTTTGAGCTCGTAGGTCGAACGATTCCTGGAATAAAACACAAAGCCCGCCTTTTAAATTGAAAACAGAGAAAGCGTTTGCAAATAGATCTTCTTCCAATTATACTCTATACTTGACTCAGTTGACTCCATCGTAGGTAGTAAAAGGAAAATAAAAGGACAATTTCTCATTTTACCAGCTAAATCGAGCGAAATATTTTGAATCCTTCGAATGTCAACAAGCATAAAAAGGGCACAGGGAGCCCAATCTCTGAAAAGTGCAACTACCATCCACGAGTTCACCTAAGGACGGTTTGATTATGTTTCTCGTGTTTATTTTATATAGTATTCTAGTTCTTCTCTAGTTTGGGAGTGTATTATTTTATATGATCTTTCGATATAAATAATCAGAAGGTAAACCAATCAATCAATCATTTTTTATTACTTATACTATAAATATTTACACTGCACAATAGAAAATTAATACTAAAGTAGTAAAGCTATTGTCGCGTCGACTGAGAATGTTGTTCTTCTCCTTGTGACTTCAGCTCGGAATATTGTGTAAACTTGACCAAAGTATCGAACTAAAATTTCAAAAATGCTTAAAACAACTTTCATTTTACAAATTAGAATAGCAAAAGCTGTACTCGTAATACATACATTATTTTACAAAACACTTTACTTGTAAGGAAGATCACTTGCGCAAAAGCTCGTTCACAATACAAAACCAGGCAAAGCGACGCAGAGCACATGGCTTGGAAGGTCGTAGGTCATCGAAAACGGACAAAGAGCGATGTTGTCTTTTCTGAAAAATAGACGATCAACAGTGTCTCTGCTCATTGGTTCCGAAAGCGTTCCATTGTTACATTAATTACTTTCGGAGACCTGCACGATAGCAATAGTAGTTCCTGCGCAAGCGCAGTAGCCACAAAAAGGCAATGAAACGATGTTGTTGTAACATTTGTGGCATCTTCGAAACGCTAGGATAGAATGGCTTCATATCGGCATGAAGGATCTCATGTTAGTAACTTTTAAAACATGTTTTATTTAACAGGGATAGCCCCGATGGCATCCAGCTGGGCATCTCCAAAAATGGAAAATCTTAACTTTGCTCGTCTTTGTAAGTTATTGATTGATGGTGGAAGACGTGCCTTAAGAGATGTATTTGACTCGATCCATTCACCAAGATCCCTTTACAGCACACTACTCAGTACAAAAGTCCATTCTACTCTAAAGGGACTGAGAGCAAAGAGGATTCTAAACAAACGACAATGGGACAGACTCTACCCTGCTAGCCCAAGTACACCTGTCACTTCAGCAGATTTTGACATCACACTGTTATTGGTTCTGTTGCGTAATATATGTGGTTTAACACCACCACCAACAGGATGGGACAAGCTTCCTGTTGCCACAGACCTGAGTAGAGAAGCTGATTTGGCTCGAGTCAAATATTATAGAAATGAACTTTATGGCCACATCACAGAAACAGCTGTTAGTGACAGTGATTTTGAGAAATACTGGAGTGAGATCTCAGATGTGTTGGTGAGACTAGGTGGACCTCATTACAAACCAGAGATTGAGAGGATGAAAATAGATACAACAGACCCTGAAGAGGAAAAGAATTTTATTGGAGCACTTGAAGAGTGGGAAGAAATGGAGCAGAGATTAATTAGAAAGATGGAGGAGATTCTTAAGAAAGTAAAAGGGATTTCAGCTGCAGATGCTTCACAGGCCAAAGGTGTGTACAATTGTAGCTTTCAGTATAATCATTTAGTATACCCCTAATGGTGTATGAATTTTGATCAATCACTTGGGAATGCAGTTTTATATTTCACGCTAACACTTTTATATATGTCTTCTAAAGAGATCAATAATAAAATGGGATGTTATCAAAAGTAACAAAATATTACAGTCTAATATCATGAACACAGGATATGATTTTTAGTAAGAACTCAATACACCTACTTGCATGAACGTTGTCATACGAAAATAGAACATAAGTGATTTAGTGGGATAGGAATTATATTAAAAAACAAAAGAAGATCACTGAAGCTGAACTTTTTCTTTTGTCTTTTAATGTATTCCTTTCTCACAAAATTACTGTTATATTTTCGTATGACAACGTTCATGCAAGTAGGTGTATATTCATCTTATTTAAAAGATTTCCACTTGCATTTCATTCAATTATCCCATCCATCTCCCTAATTCAAAGAGAGTAAAAGGTTGCTTAGTAACCTCCTGAATTGTCTTTGAAAAATAGTGATAATGTCGATAATGTCGTAATATGTAATGTATTGCCTTGTCCTCCTGAAAGATCTGGCATTATAATGTTAAAGAGGGACTAGCACGTAAGTCTTCAGAAATTTAATTCAGCCGAAACTTCAATGGAATAATCTTTAAGGGTCTAATAATCACTGGTTAAAGTTTTTTCTTTATATTCCAGTGTGAAGTATTATATTTTTACGAAATTCTATATGTGTCTTTGATACACTCAATGCTAAAAATACATTTCTTTGTAAATAAAACTTCAGGTTTTACTCTTTTTCTATTGAGCCCAAAGGTGGGCTCTGAGGGACTTAACGTTCATAACTCGTGGTTAGAGTCATTTAATGATATATTTTCTTCAATACTGAATATAAAACTAACGGATATTTTGATTACAAAATAAAAAGAAACGTATGGAGCGTTGTTGAGTATATGACATAGTATACTATAAAAATTCGAAAAATACAATACTTCCCATCCGAATATCAGAAAAAACTTGAACCAGTGATTATTAGACCTTTAAGGGTTATTCCAGTAAATTTTCAGCTGAATTAAAATTCGGACGATTTACGTGCTAGTGCCCCTTTAAATTAAAATCGGATTGAATTTTACACGAGAGGCTCCCCTCTCTTGCCTGCTTTGATATGGACATCTCATTGCCCTAATTTGACTAATGACAATAAACAAGCATATACAGACTTTATTTTTGAAGACACTCAACACAAAAAGAAAATTAACGACAAGACATCAGTTTTTTATGTGTAGGTCCTATATTGACTATAAATTGCGTCAAAGTAAAAAAAAGTAGTGTGGATCCAAGAGGCGTAGTCAATTTTATTTAGACCATATGGTTAGCATAAAGAGGAAAACCTCACGCGAAAAGTCAATACGTAACCTTTCGTCTACTCTCAATGTAAAAGTGTTTTGAACCATCACGTGAGGGCAGCCATGTCAGATGGCAGGAAAAATACAATCGTTTTACATGAGAAATCATTGAATACTCCCTTTTCAATTTCCCCTCTGCTCAGTCTTAGCCTCAATTGTATACAAATCTGTTCTATTCTTTCAATAAGGTACATTGTATAGTAAGGAATGTACGTACTACGGAACAATACGAGTTGATTAAAATGCTACGGGTTTTGGTTGAATAGCTGAATATTATAACACACAACCGAGACTAAGGCCCCGTCCACACAATGCCGGATAGATTTGAATCTGCAACTTTCACACCAAAGCCGAAAAAAAAGTTTTCCGTCCACACATGAAAACGGATAAAATGTTTCGCGTCCACAATATTCCGATCAGAGGCGGCAAAAACGCTTCATTGCACATCTGAGCATGTGCATCGAAGCTGAAATTGTGTCTGAGCAAAGAGAACTCGAGACCAAAGGGATATTATTGTTCTGCCATCTAACCACAGGCGGTCCAAGCTGTATTATAGGCGCCGGCACGTCATGGCGCAAAGTCTTTACTTAGGAAAGAACAGCTCTCTTTTCTCAAGCTACAGGTCAAAGTCATTTGCGCAAATACTTGATAAGAATTGAGTTTACAATATCAAATTCATTAATTGTCTTATCCATTTTACATTCCAATGAGTGAGTGAGTGAGTTAATGAGTGAGCGAAAGAGTTAATGAGTGAGTGAGTGAATGAATGAATGAATGAAGAAACGAAGAAATAAACGAATGAAGAAAAAATGAGAATATGTGGACCGCGTAGCACTTCATGTATTTCATAAGTGCTACGCGGTCCACATATTCTCATCTTTGCATCATAATTACTGCGACCTAACATCTATTTCACCCCGGCCTGCTCTCAGTCTGACCTCTAGCTCAGCTGGTAGAGCATCGGTAGTACAATTCCGAAGGTCGTGGGTTTGATTCCCAGCGTGGTCGGAAATTAATTTTTCCGAACTTAATTCCAAGGGTCTTTCGCCCGGAGTAACCTCGTTCCCAAGCACTATAACTTATCTATATTTCTATATCTTCATGAATGAAGAAAAACTATATTATATTATACTTACCTTTTCTTACTGTGTTTTGTTAAATTGCTGTGTTTTGATTTTCAGAATATACAGAAAAACTGAAGTCATCCATTAAACAACTAAATGATTTTCTGTTGTCAGAGGAAGAAGACAAGAAAATTAGAACTGATGACATCTTTACGAGTGTGACTATCCAACGCGGTCCAAAACACTTCAAGGAACCCAAGGAAAGGAGATTTGGCAGGAGGCAATTTGATGGAATTCAAGCAAGTAGTACAAAACTCAAGAGCTGTTCAGAAATGTTTCTTTGCCCAGAAAATGATGATCAACAATCCACAGCTTCTTGCACGACCAATCCTAAATCTATCTTGTTGACGGGCAAAGCAGGAATTGGAAAATCCCTCTTTTGTCGAAAGCTGGTACGGGATTGGTCGCATAACCGATTGTTTGAGGAAGGTCAGGAAAATGCCAAAGTACCTGATTTTCAGTTTGTGTTCCTGTTGACATTCCGTCAACTTGTTTTTCCAAAAGAAAAAAGGCTTAACTTGCGTGATATCTTAAATCGGTCCTCCCTACTGAACGAGCACTCGGTGATAGACGAGCCATTACTGCAGTACATGAATGACAATCCTGAGAAGCTCCTCATCATTATTGATGGGTATGACGAGTATAAACCGCATCGAGAGAAAATCACCGGCGACTTTGAGAGGAGATACCCAAACGACCCTGATGAAAAAATACCTGTTCCTGCTCTGATTGCCAAAATCATAAAAGGAAAGATGTTAAACGGTGCAGTGGTCCTGATATCCTCGAGGCCTGAAGAAGCCGAGGAATTACAAAAAATTGTCTTTGATGTGAGATGTGACATTCAAGGATTTTCTTCACTTCAAGTGCTAGAATACATCGAAAAATATTTCAAAGAGAACGAAAGCATGAAGAACAAAGCACTTGATCACATCAAAACGAATGAAATTCTTTTAAGTTTTGGTCACATTCCTGTGATGTGTTTTCTAATGTGCTACTGCATTAAGTGGTATATGACTGAATCAAAAACCACAGAAAAACTACCCGTCACAAGAACAGAACTTTATCGTCAAGTAATCAAAGTATTTATCAAGAAACATTCCTCTTCTAAATATGAAGAAATGGAAGAAACTAAAGTACAAGAAATATTATATAAACTAGCTGAACTAGCGGTGAATTTAATGATGGAAGATAAATATATTTTCGACGAAAATGATATGAAAAAATTCAATCTTAACGATGAAGAAATAACAAACCTGAAAGCGAGTGGATTACTTGACTGTTGTCCTGGCGTTAAAAAATCTCCATTCGAGAAACCACCACTTGAATATACGTTCACCCACTTAACAATTCAAGAATATCTTTGTGCTTTTTTGTTTGTAGAGAAAAAACAAATCCCAATGAAACAGAAAACGAGCGATGTGACATTCATGTTCATGGCGGGAATGTTTTCAAGAGAAAAAGATGAAAAACTGATGAAAAAGTTGATAGAAAATATCAAACCAGGGGATGAATACGATGAGAGGAATAAACTGCTAACTTTATCCTGTCTGTACGAGTACAAAGACGATGGATTTTCTACCAGAGTAATAAATAACCTTAAACACAGATACTGTGATAGGAATGGGAGGATTGTATTTAGTTTCATAACTGATATCGATTGTTTGTACATAAGTTATTTATTAGATATAGTGAATTTAATCAACGCAGAACAAACTAAACAACTGTACATTAGGTTGTCATCTTTATCAGCATCGGGGATCAGAATGTTGTGTAATTCTCTTGTTCGTATTTCTAATGTTGATGTACTGTCACTAATTGGTTGTAAATTAGACGATGTATGTGTTAAAATAATATGTGACATGTTGCCTCGTACTAAGATAACAGAACTAGCACTACGTGGTAATGATATAACAGATGTTGGTGTTAAGATAATATGTGACATGTTGCCTCGTTCTTATATAACCCACCTAGACCTAAGTTGGAATAAAATAACAGATGTTGGTGCTCAGTGTCTGTGTTCAGTATTAATACGTGATGATTGTCGTGTAAAAGTGTTAGACTTACATGGTAATAATAACATAACAAGTGAATGTGCACTGTCTTTACAACAACTGATCCCTGGTGTTAGATTGGATATTTAGATGATATTTATATTCAAATTAACCTCATACTGAAGATGACTTTCGCAGTCGGAAACGTTTTATTTAAGAACTTTTAAAAACATAACTTCTATCCTTGTAAATATGTATATTTATATGAATACGACTATTCTATGTAAAAAAACACAATGAACCCATGATAAATAACAGCACAATAATCTGTAAATAATTTGTTATTAATACTATAATTTATTGAATACGAAAGAAAACTTCTTTTAGTTTTTGTGTCTACTGCATATTAATAAGCAGTAGACACTATGCCATCGAGTTTACCCAGATATACTTCATATCCTATTTGACTAGCGAAAAAGATAGTTAAATGACACAATATAACTGACATAAAGTTCATCCCGGTGTAAGAGTTGTAAAACTTCGAATTACTTTCGGATCCCACGTGCACAGCTAGGCGCGCATGGCGAGGATAGCCGATGTTATCCGAAATCCCACGTACTGGCTGGTCAACTTGGCTGCTCTGTTTGCGACTGCTTACGACTTTTTATCGACTGGGAAACGTTTGACCAACGTATCGAATAATGATTTGGTAGGATTCAGTGATTTCTACGAGGTAATGGCAGCCATTTTTGTAGTGAATTTTATCTGTTTTTTGGAACAAGCTCAAGGCAGTAGTATAGGGAATGGGGGTTCCAGCGCAATCTCAACACGGGCAAGATCCGTGTCAAAAATCCACCTACGGACGACCCCCACTCCAAGTGTGGTTG